TTTTGGGCCCAAATTCAGAATATTAGTATTGGAAAGGCAGTATGAGGATTGGATACAGCAACCGGCAGAAAATTTCAAGGCAAATCATTTCTCATAATTGCTTTTATACATCACTCTACCAGGCAATGAGCAATTTAACCACAAGAACCAGGTCTTTGCATTTTCTATGTACATAGCTCTGCCTGGTGCCTCGCGTTATTATCCACTGGAATCTCCTGGCTTTTGATTCTCCTGGATGGCTGTGCCAGAATGTTGCAAGGTAGCTCGTTCTAGAAGTGGCTGGCCAATTAAATGTTACCAGCTTTGGGTCGCTTGCTTCTCTTTTGGAGTTGGATTCCAGGTTCTTCTGCTGTCAAATAAAGAATTGAATGAAACAAGCAAAAAGTAGTGGTAAAGTTTACTTGAAAAAAAAGTGAAGAGAGAGAGACAGACTGGCTCTGCAGCATGAGCTTGGACAATGTGAAAGAGGAAAAAGAAAGTAAGATAACAAGCTGGAGGGGCTGGGGATTTAACTCAGCGGCAAAAAGCGCCTGCCTGGCAAGCGCAAGGTCGTGAGTTCGGTTCCCGGTACCGGAGAAAAAACAAAAAACAAACAAACAACAACAACAAAAAAAACAAGCTGGAGAAAGTAGGGCTGGCTATAATGAGGAAAGCCTCCATAGCAAGTTCTTCTTGGTAGCTGTGTCCTTTTACACAGTCCAAATGTCAAGGAAACTCTTGGGAACTTCTACATACAGGTCCTGAGAGGCGGTGCTGGAATCCCATGTCTCAGGCTAAGATCAGGTCTAAGCCATCCTGTTTAACACTTGTTCAGGTTCTCACAAGAAGTCCATGTGCAAGGCTTTGGAAACTGTTCTGTGCATGTGTTCTGGGATCTTGTAATTAACAGGTCATGGCTGCTTCCCCAGCCAGCTTTGCCACACCCTAATCTCCTATGTTAATACCAGTAAATGTTGAATAAATAGCTCATTCTGATATAGGAGATAGGCTGTGGCAAAGCTGGCTGGGGAAATGAGCAGGACCTGTCAACTACAAGATCCAAGGACAGTGCTAAATAATTCTCATATATAGAACTTCTTGCAAGCTCCCATGAGATGTGAATGACATAAAAGAAGACTGGAAGCCACAGGGCGCCTGCTGTCCTGAATTCCCACTATAGCCTGTGCTGCATTTCTCAGGCACAGCAGGTACTTTTATTTTTGCTTTTACCTTCTTTTTCTCTTATTTGGCCCAAGTTCACTCTGCAGAGCTAGTGTTTGCCAAACTCATTCACTCTTCACTTTTCAAATAAACTTTTTGGCACCTTTTTTGATTTGTTTTGTCCAATTCTTTGTTTGAGGCAAGGAGGACCTGGAATACTTTTGATTGATGAGCCATTTCCAAAGGAACTGCCCAGTAACATTTCCACCTTAATGAATTAAATGTGGGACAAGCAAAATAAAGTCTTTGTCAGGCATGGTGGTGCAAGCTGTAATCCCACCACTTGGGAGGCTGAGGCAGGAGGATCACTACAAATTTAGGACTAGCCTGGCCTACATACCAGCCTGAATTATATAAGGAGATCCTGTCTCAAAAACCAAAAAATAAATAAAAATAAATTCTTTAACAAAAATGAAGGGGGTATATCCTCCCCACTTTTATTGCAATACTGGAGATGGTGTCCAGGGCCTCTGCACTGAGCCTCAGCCCATTTCCTAATTTTTTATTTTGAGACTGCTCTTGCTAAGTTGCTCAGTTTTCCAGGCTGGGATCAAACTTGTGACCCTCCTGCTTCAGCTTCCCACAATGTTGAGTATGCCTTTGACTGTGTTCACCTTGTTCACTTCCTCAGGCTGTGTCTTCGAGAAAGCTGAAGCAACCCCTGAAGAAGTTAGGCAAGGGCAGGGAGCAAAGTCATTCTGCTTGTAGACAAGAAGTGGCACTTTCTTGAAGGGAGCCAGGACAGTTCCTCTTTGTGTTTCCCATAGCTCACCATTTGCATTCCATGGGTCCCATTCTCCAAACAGGTTTGGGGAACAACTCTTCTCGGGGCAGAAAGAGCTAAAGGTTAACACTAACCCCTTGCTGAGACTTCAGATTGGTGGTCCTCTCTTCCTCATGGGAAACTAAGAGGAAGGGGATTATCTATAGCCTCAGGTTGCTGTGCTAGGTGATGGGGGCTATGACTGGCATTCATTACCTTCTTTACCATCTATTCTAATTTCCCCTTGCTAATCCTGGAAGTTTGGTTAAGAACGCCCAAATCTCATCTGTAAGGACTATTAAGAACTGCAGATCTTTTTCCTCTTCTCTCTTTTCTAGATGGCCTGAATATGGAGCAACTGGTGATATTTCTAGAAAAAGGCATCCTGTTACTTGGAAAGAAATGGTCTGATTCACTGCTAGTCATGAGGTAGGGAAAAAAAGAGAAGTTTCACCAGTGGATTTTCATGTGATGTGAGAAAATGCAAAGGGAAGCTCTTAATTACAGAAGGGAGTTTCTATTACACAAAAGAGATACAAGGAACACTTCCTGAGCTACTGTACTGCAACATAATAAAAAGTGAGGGCTCTCATTGCCAGCACAAAACCCCTAACTCACATGACTTTTAGGGGACTGGGTAATCCTGAGAGAGGAGGATGTTATTAGCAAAGTACTAATCCTTAGAAAACACCAAAATAAGATTAAAATGTAGATGAGGAAATTAAAACAGTACAAGTAAAATTATCAGAAAATAACAGTAACAACGAGATCACTGTAAGCCCCCTGGGCCATGTGGTCATCTCCCTCTTTCGAAATTTGTAAATGGAGGAACAAGACTCTGCCTTCTGGAAAGAAAACTTCGAAAAAAAAATTTTTTTTTTTTGGTTTGTTTGTTTTTTGTTTTTTTCTGGTATCAGGAATCAAACTCACGACCTCGTGTTTGCCAGGCAGGCGCTGTGCCGCTGAGCTAAATCCCCAGCCCCAAACTTTGAAATTAAGTCAAGAAAGTGTTGGTGTGTTTTAGCGTAATTTGCTAATAAATCTTCAAGGTAAAATAGTATTTACATTTTTTAATGCCTGTAGAATGATGAAAATCCTATTCCTTACCTTATTCTGTTGTGCTAACAACTATACATTTTTGGCTAAAACAACAATGGCAATAACAAACAACAATATCTCAC